TCAGGTCCCTTCCGACCCTAGAAACTATGAAACTATGTAGGGCATTGTGAGAGAGTTGCAGAAATGTACTGTTGTGATCTACAAATCTTTTTGACGCTATTGTCTATCTAATTCAGTTTGGACTCTAACTGCCTGGGCCCACCTTTTAGGGTTGCTTTTTTTGTCAATTTTTGTGGAAACATTTCAGTGAAATTGAAATATGCTTTATATACCAGTAGCTTCCTGGTCTTAAAATTTCCCAAATTTCAAGGTGGTTGTGGAGCAACATGGACATATATGATCTGGAATAGGGGCTATGCTGTAGATCCTGTGAAGTTTGAAGACTTGCCATTATTAGGTGATTAGAACAGAGGTGTGGGAAATGTTTCTGTTTTTCCCTCTGCCAGTCTCTCTCTCTCTGATTTTTGGGAAAGTTCCTTAATCTCTTCTGTATTATTCCTCACTTGTAAAACGGTTTGAAATACTTCACACGGGATTGAGGATTATGTTTCTAGTCCAGGGAGAATACCCTTTGAAAACTGTAGTTAGACTTTACATGAAGTAAAATAATGCTTTACACAGTAAGAGAAATGTGGCCTTTTAAAATGCCCACAACTTTTTATTGAGATATTTGCTTTCAGTCAGATGATGCGCATTTAACTAAAATGTTTGATAGAAATATGTTTCCTTATCAAAATGTCATCTCTTTTAAAATGAAGTTAATGGTGTTTTTATATTTTACATTGAAGAATGTATTCCTTGTAAATTTTAATTTTTTACTAGATTTTGTAAAATCATAGGATCAGCCAAGCTGTTTAATTATGGTTTCATGATTTTTTTAACTGAGATTCTTGTGACACTTTATGTACTTTGCTTTTTGGGAAACTGAGTGGAATTTCATGTAACTCTGCAGATAACACCATCATACTTCATTTCTAGAAAATAATTATTTAAAAGTAGACTTTGGGTACCAGTGTGTTGCATCATTAGTACGCATGCAGTAAGAACTCAGTTGCATTCTTTTTTTTGCCATCCAATGGATTAGTAGCTTCTCATCACACTGGCAGTTTTTTACATGCTTCTTCAAGTTTTGATAGCCACTCCACAGTCATGGTAGAGACTCATTTTCTGCTCAGACACCCTTACATGCAAATATTGGAAACAAAGTATTAAATAAGCCTTTCATTTTGATGTCACTCTT